AGTGAAGTAATATTCCACTTGGACACCGTTGAGAGCTCCTCTTCCATGTCTTATGTTACTTGTGTTGAATTAAGAAGACCGACACTTGTAACAATATGAAGAACCAAGAATTCAGAATTCAAAGAAAAAAGACTTGGTGTGGAACACTCATAGTTCGAAATTAATTTGATTTCAAGTCTTAGAAAAATTTAAGTGATAGCAGAATTTTATACAGCTAAGTAATTGTATCTTTTAAGCAATTGCATTTTATTGAATAATCTAAGATGTTAATATTTTATAGCGCAAGAAGCTAAGCAAAAATATCTTGAAAAAAATGCCAATTACCTCAATACAGCATATTGTTAATGATGTGAAAGCAGAATTCTTGACCTTCACAAATATTTAAAGTTGCTCAACGAGAATTGTGATAGTGGCATACAAGGATGCAAGAATAGAAGTAGCATGTCAATATTATTTTATCAATAGCATACTGTTAATAATTAATTCACATTTATATATTTGATATAGCATGTATTATTATTTAAAACTTAAATATGAATGAATAAATTTTATTTGCTATTTTATTTAAAAAACTTTTAATAAATTTGAATTCTTAATTATTTGATCTATTTAATGATTAAATTCAAATATACAGTATAGATACACTTTTGAATAAAAAGAATAGCAGTTTAAATTCTAGTGTAATTTTCTTTTGATTTGTAAAATCTAAATAGTATATACGATCGTATCGTTAGAATTGTACACAAAATTTGTGCTGTGTGTAAAAATAATTAAATTCATTAAATCAATAAATATCAAACCTATTTTGTTTCAATTTATTCTTGTCTTGCTTGTCAGAACGAATCTATTTCTTGCATGTAACAAATGTTATTTTCATAACTGATAATTGAGTCTGTCAAACTTCTGAATTAAAACACTATTTTAAAAACGTTATCTAAAACGTCTTATTTAAAACATCACTTTTAAAACATACCTAAAACGTTTTTTCTAAAGTATATCTAAAAAAAAAAGAATTATATAGATTAGTTTTTGATTATTTATAAATAATACGAATATTCTCCATCCGACGATATACAAGTTAAAAACCATATTTGCAAAAAAATACTTATTATTAAATTTTTCCACAAAACCTTGATTCATTATTGATAATAGAGGATTACTATGATTATTCTTCTGATGAAAATTTAGAAAAAAATTTTAGTACTGATCAAGATGAACCATTATTTGTTCATGATTATCTGGCTGCTATGAAGGCAAGATATTAGTTAGAAGAGCAAGATTCTTTGGAAATACTAGAAGATGACGAAGATAATGAAGATTCATTATCTGAAGATGAGAATATAGATCGTAAATTCTTAAATGTAGAAAAAAATAATCTATCACCTTGCATTATTATTGATAATTTAAAAGGTAAAATTAGACACTGCAATTTAACATATAATTTAAAATCATTATTCCAATTATTTGGAACTTGGGAAATAGAAATAACACCAGAAGAAAATTCCAATACAAATACCTTAGGTGTTTGCTCTAGTCATTTCAATTTCGATCATAGTAAACTTCACTCGTCTTATGCCAAACAATTTAGAGATATCAGTCAGAGTGTAGTTAAACCAAAAAAATGTTTGTTCTGTAATAAATATAAAAACTTTTTTAGTAGAAGTGATGACTGTAGAGAACATGGTTGGAATATATGTAGAAGAAATATTCAAATACCATGTGCTGGTTTAAAATCATGTTCTGCTCTTCAAGAAATTGCAAATATCTCTTCAAAAATTTCTAACAGTCATCACGTTCGTTATATCTGTACAAAATGCTTTGAAAGCAATGGTAGACATATTCATAAACGTGATGGAAAAAAATCTCAAACATGTGTTAACAATGAATTGCATAAAGATGATACTAATCAAGTCTTAAAATTATTTTTGAAGTGGTTATCAAATCTTTCATATTCTGAAAATGAAAATCAAAAAGAAAAAGTAGTACGGCATATGATGAAATTATTAGAAAATCCAAATTCAGATGCATCATCCTCTACGGATACAATCTCTACAAATACAACAAATTGTTTATCTAGCCTGCTGCTAGTAAAAACTGCTATGAGGATTAATGTATTTAATTATTATTTATCTACAGATAAAAAATATGTAAAAGCAGATGAATATCGACAACATAGTGAAGTATTAGGAAACTTCATATGTAATTCACGTAAAGATATTGAGCAATATCATAATAATTTAGAAAATCCAAATTCATTAAATGAATATTATAACAGCTTTCTTTTAGCGCTTACTAGTTTTTTTAATGGATTAGTTAAGTCTATTGAAAAACATAAATATGCAGTTAGTGAAAGAAAACGAAGACAGCGTGGACAAAAAGAATCAAATTTTAATAGAGAAGCAATAGAAAAAATATCAGCATTTTTTGCATCAGTTATTTTAACAATTGCCTTTCCTTCATGGAAAATATGGCTTACTTTTACCATGACTTCCTTATGCAAAAAACCAAAGTTAATTTCTTTCTTGCAAGCAATACTTTATGCGGTATATATAACATCTCGTACATGGAAACACAAAACAGTACTAGAAAAAGAGCGTGTTAGTAAATACAATCTATTAACAAAATTAATAAAAGGACCAAATATTTGGAATATTGCAGTAATTGATAATATCGATTTCAAAGATATTGTTTTTGAATACAGCAATATTTATGATGTCACATGACGATCTGCGCATGCCACTTTATGACTGGTATTTCAGTTTGAACTTCTATTTAATTTGTCGAATCTTGCTCAAGAAAATCAAAATCTGAAACCTCAAAAAAATTTGTTTAGTAAATTAGAATTTACAACTAAATGGGAAATAAAATTTGATCAAATAATAATATAATTATTAAACAAAAATGGAAGAAACTTCAGAATTAGAGAGATTGATGCAGAAGTATTTAATAACATTGAGTTAGGATGTAATGTAAACCCACCAAATCTCATTATACTGGAGCCTGGGCCAGCACCTAATAGTAATGAAGCTGTGTTCGAGTCAATTAACATGTTTTTAAAGGATCTTGGTCAAAATGTTGTTGATTTAGTATGTGATGCAGCTATTTTTGGAAGAACTAAATCATATAAAAAATGAAAATTTAACTTGCTGATTTATGCTTAGGCAGTGGCATACATCGAAAGCTATGTACAGTGCTTTAATAGCTATATTTAGTGGATATGGTTTATATAGCATGGTGGCAAAACTTGGTGTTAAATTTCTTGAAAAACTAGAGCAAAACGTAGATTATCATTCAACATGCAATGTATTAGGATTAATATATTTTGCTGTAGCAATAGCGATTCATCTTCATCTAAAAAAAAAAATAAAATACAAGATGAGATGGATAATATAGAAATAGAGAATACTATAATGAGCAGAAATAATAATACTCTAAAAGTTTGGTACTTATATTACTATTTAGCTAGGTATTAGAAGGCTCAATGTGCAGGAATTCGTACAAGAAATCTAGACATGCAATTAAAAAATTTGGCAGCATTCGCACTCCTATTTCCTGTTGCTGGGAAAAACAATTATGCAATGTCAATAGCATTTTTCTTAGAATCGATATCACACTATCCACAACAATACGAATTGCTCAGACATATTGCTTCAGTAAACATTACCAGGGAATATCACTATCTAGCTTTTGATGAAACACTAGAACAATATAGCATTAAGTTCGTCAAACAGAATTTAGCTTCTGGTTTATCAGATTCAGTGCTTTTAAAACAACGAATTGCAGCAATCCAGGATGAACGTGAGAGGATGCTAATGTTATATAGTGAATTTGTAAATGATAATATAATAGTTCCACAAAATCGAGCAGTTAAACAGTATACAGAAGTTTTATGGGAACTTGTTGATGAACTTACTTGTACATTCGACCTTACAAATCCAAAGCAACATAATCTCTTCAAACATGCACAAGAAATGAACCAAGATGGTTATAAACGAATGTTTACTTTTTATGAGATTGGGCTTAATATATTAGACAAACTTCTGCAAGAAGAAGTATATAAAACTAAAAAAATAACTAAAGGAAGACGAGTTAAAAATTTAGTTAGTGTCTCAGCTAAAGAATATCAGTCATTGGTAAAAAATGATACATAACTATAACTTTGAGATTTAAAAAAACTTAGCGATATAAATTTTTGAAAGAATCTGAGTAATAAAACTAGAATTCATACTTTTTTTTATTTGTATTTTTTATTTATTTAAAAAGAATAATAAATTGATAATTATATAATCAGCTATCGTGACATCTTTTCTGACTTGCTAAAAAAAAAGTTTAAAAAAATAAATAATAACAAAAAAAAATAATCTCTAGTGAAGTATATCTTGTAGTAGAGTGTCTTTTTGTCCTATATGCAAATAAGACAGCAGGTATATGTATATCCCAGTCTTCATCTTGTTCTT